GTTTTTTAGTTTTTTAAAACTATTTTTTTTTTAAATTAGTGTATAGTTATCGGTCCTCGATATATCTACAAAAGTTTGAACAAATTCTGATTTAAAGTCAGTCTAAATCACGCCCAAAGTAGTCGGTCACAAACATACAAAACAAACATACAAGTGAAGCTAATATAAAGCGTGTAAAAACGTTTCCATGTGCGCTGGAGATTCGACTTTGAGATTTTTATCGCAAGTTCTACACAACTGAAGAAGATATGTAACGAATACTTTGCTCAATGATGCTACATAAATTCATGTTTTTTAGCGCAAGCGTCGTAATATTGTCATTCACGGCTGATATTCCTTTTCAGTTTTTCTGTTTGTGTAAAAACTTATAATCACCCGTCATCCATACTTCCATACTTATATTATAAATGTGAAAGTGAGTTTGTTTGTTTGTTTTGTATGCTTTCACGCCTAAATCGCTAACCCGATTTTAAAAATTCGTTCACTAATGGAAAGCTACAGTATCAACGAGTAACATGGGCTACTTTGTACTGCGACAACCGACCTGAACGCAGGCGGAACCGCGGGCAATTCTAATTTTGTTTTTTTTTTTTTTTACTAATAGATGTTTGTTTTAGTAATTTAAAAATAAACATATATTTTATACATATACACACGATACAGTAGTACCTACATACATATTATATAAATTCATATTAGCTTATTTAAATACATACATATGCATACCTATTTTTACTAATAAAAATATTAGATGAAAAATTTTGAGCAGGTTTATTCTGCCAGTTGTTCATTAAAATATAGTTTTAAAAGATGAGATAACGAACTAAAGACGTATACAACGAAGAAGATTATTGGGTCTTGATAGGTACATTAAATTTGTAAGTAGGAAGCTAAATACGTAAGCAGCGATGGATTATCTAAGATAGTGTAAAAGGCAGAGGCATATTGATAAACAAATTTTTCTTTTTTTAAACAAACACAAATTAAATCTTTACATTCATATTTTACTAGGTACTATTTTAGTCCTGTGGTATTCGTGTAGTGATGGATTAAGAAGGCCTGGCGCTGCGTCGCCCATGCGGGGCAGACCGCCAGCGTGTGCTGGGCCGAGTCCTCACTGCAGTCGCAGTGGTGGCAGGCGGGACTCAGTTCCCTCCTAGCGACCGAGTGCAGGTACTTTCCGAAGCAACCGTGCCCGGAAAGCACCTGCGTCAGCCGGAAGGAAAGGGTCCCGTGCTGCCGCCCTGCCCACTCGGCGATGACCGGCTGGAGAGCCTCCACGGCGGCGAAGCCAGCGCGTGCAGTCTCCAGCCGGAACGACCAACGAGCCTTCGGGCGGAGGGCGGAATCCGCTCTCCGCCCGGGAGTCAGCCACTCGCCGATAAACTTCGGCGAGCACTTCCGCCTCCAAATCCCACGGGGGAGTTCCGGCCAACGCGCACGCCACCTCCGTCGAAACGGTGCGGTAACCGCGTATGGCTCTGACCGTCATTACCCTCTGAGGGCACCAGAGGCGTGCCCTATTCTGGGCGGTCAGAGCCGCCGCCCACACCGGTGCACCGTATAGTGCCATTGACCGGACAACCCCCGTGTACAGCCGTCTTGTCGCGACGCTGGGTCCACCCAAATTGGGCAAAAGTCGCCCTAGGGCAGACGCAGCGCCGACCAGCTTTGGAGCAAGCTGTCGGAAGTGCTCGTCGAAGAGCCACCTACCGTCTAGGACCAGACCCAGGTACCTCATCTGGGCCCGGACCGGTACGAGGACCGAGCCGACCTCGATTGAGGCGCCGGCGGGTGGACCACGACGGGGCCCATGAAATAATAGGGCCTCCGTCTTATCCAGGGCCACCCGCAAACCCAACGCCTCAATGCGCCCGACCACCAGGGAAACTCCCGTGGCGGCCAGGCGCGCCGCCTCCTGGAAGTTAGCCCCCCGGGCCGTGACTAAAGTGTCATCTGCGTAGCAGAGTACACCCAGCCGGGGGGGAGACGCCCTCGTAGGGCCCATTCGTATCCAATGTTCCACAGGAGAGGTCCTAGGACAGAACCCTGCGGAACACCGCACGACATGGCCCTGCGTCTCAAGACGCCATCTCGGTCCTCGTACATGACGGTTCGCTCCTCAAGATAGTCTGCCACCAGCCGCCTCAGGTACTCCGGCACTCCGTGGTAGCGGAGCGCTTCCCTGATGCAGCTGAATGGCAGACTATTGAAGGCGTTGGCGATGTCTAAAGACACCGCCAACGCCGCCAACACCACTCCGCCGCAGCTCACAGCCTCCTCGGTCACGGCCCTAAGGCGCATCACGGCATCGATTAAGGAAACCGATCGGGGCCAACCTCGCAAAGGTGCCGGACGATGCGGGCAGAGAGCACCCTCAAAGAGGTTTACCCGCCTCGTCCAGCAACACGATAGGCCTATAGGCCGCGACCGAATCGGTAGGCCGTCCCGGCTTCCTCAGCAGGACCAGCTTCCCGCACTTTCAGCGCTCAGGGAAGCGTCCGGACGATCCGAGAGAGACGAGATCCAGTACTATGGTAACCAGACTGCTTACAAACTTACTTATACATTTTTAAATACATACATATTATATATAGATAAATTAAACCTAAAAACAAATGACCGCTTATAACACAGTATTTATTCTGGGTGGGAATCGAACTCACGACCTCCGGTTTAGCAGTCAGGGTCACTAATATTATTACAGAAGAAGGTTCCGACTTTCCGGCAATGACCGTATACAACTGCCCTGCTAGAGTTACTTGCTTACACTCTCCAAGTCATCTTTATAAGCAATATACCTTGCCTAATATTACCTTCCTGTCTTATTTACCTTTTCTTACAATATACTCCTAATTTGACTGGCCTGTTGGTTTCTACTAGACCAACAGGCCAGTCAAATTGGGAGTATTGTTGGTATTCTGAGTGTGATCACACGCATATCAATGCGTGAGTGTATATGTGCATATACTACAAGCTATTTATATGTATCAAAGTATAATATATTTAGTTACAAAACATAATATAAAATACAATAGTACTTACTGCCACAATGTTCTAACTTTAATGGTTTGGCAGTCTAACCACAGTAATTTTCACTTGAATCACATGATAATCAAAACCGAGTTCATTGTGTGTGTAAGTTGTGTTAATCTATGATAAATAACATTGCAGATTTGCTTAATAGCAACGGAAAATTATCGGGATATATGTACACAGTATATTTTGTAAACCATATTTTTTTTAAATGTTGGTTTCAAATCAAATCAAATCAAAGTTTATTTGCTATGAATGTAGGTACATCAAATTACAGATGGAATAGTTTTCATTGAACCGTGTACATTCTGCCTTATAATTAAGCATGCAAAAATCTATAAAATAAAGGTCGATACAAATTAAATCTGGAATGGATAAGAACAAAAAAAAGAAAAACAAAAACGAACTATTAATAGTTTAGATGTCAATGGTCCGGTCCACAAACTAATCATCAATATAGTGTATGTCAATGCTTCAGAATTACCAAATTACAAGTCATAAGAATTATAAATTGTGATTACAAATTAGTATCTATTAAACAATCATTGATTGTGTAGTAACATTTGTCCATAAGCAAGGCTTTTAATTTATTATTGAAATTTCCCATTACATCATTTTTAAGTCATCAGGCAATTTGTAAAATATAATGGGATCCATGCAGATAACACTTTTCCTTAGTAACGCCCTGTTATAGGAACCAACACTTAGAAGATTTCTGTATGGGTTTCTTACAGGTCCTTTTCTAGTTTCTGCCACAGGAGTGAAACAACACAACACACTGGTTACAAGAAAGAAACAAATTCCGACAGTATTTAAGTCTTCTTTAAGTTTAGTATTAGTATTATTAAATCATTAGGGTCTAAGTGCATGTATATTTCTCATAAAAATATTCGTTTCCTCTAATTTGGTCATAATCATCATCATCATCAACAGCCTTTTATAGTCTACTGCTGGATAGCATAGGATGGAAGGTTTCAATTTAAAAAGCTAGATATTCTCTAAAATGAGCTAATTATAATAAACGGTAAATAATTAACTATTTATTACAAACGCCGTAGGATTAAATGGTTCTAGTGTTGAGTCGTTAGGTCATGAACAATCGAGAGCCGAATGCAATCATGAGGACAACGCCATCTAGTATCAAGTGATGCACAACGAACCCTATGCGTTGAGATTAGGATTAAAAAATCCGATACTTACAGCGCCATCTAGTATCCGGCAACGGAAAATTCCTTATTATCTGTACGCTCTATCGAATCCTATGCCTTATTCTGGTTATTACGGCAGCCCTATAAAAGCTGAGCGTGTTGGCCATACGGGTAAGTATGGTTTTACGAGACAGTGGTTATTTACGGCGTTATTTACTTAAATTGTTATTTTGTAAAAGAGTGTTTTTATAAATACAGTGCTAATTTTGGTAATTAACCGTTTACTTTTGTCGAATTCCCGACTCGTGACAATATCACGAATTTTAAATCATAGTTTCCTAGGATAAATTTCTTGAAAGAGTACTTAAAGTAAAGAGGCAGTATACAAGGATGTATATTTAATAGTAATAATCATTGCCGTTGTCTAGTTAAGAAACCCTGATTGTTAAGTCGGAGATTGTGGGTTTGTTTCCCACCCAGCACAAATGATTGTGTGAAGAGCACTACCATTTGTTTCGTATCTTCGTGTAATTTATCCATATATATGGCAATATTTAAGTATATTTATGAGAAGTCTGGGCACCATACAGAGCACGGGCTTTGCCCGATTTGGGATCAGACGGCCGTATTGTTATACGGTATAAACAACTGTTCGTGATTGTACTACAATTTTTACACCGAATTGACGACAATAATTACAGGGCAGCGCAATAATTCTCTGCTGTTGCGATCGAAATAAATAACCACGCTTGAATCATTTCTGGTATAAAAAAGAACATGCGATGTTCATAACAATCTGATTTTTATAGAATAACCATGTGTCGTGTTGTGATGTTCTTTGTTTTTATGTTTGCTGTATCGGTAAGTAATATTTTGCTTTAAAAATATGTAAAATTTGAATTTAAAGAAATCTAGACAATAACACATTTTGACGTGATCCAAAAAAAATAAAATTAAGGGAGTTACGTTTAGAGCTCCATACCGTTATATCGTATTTAATATAAATACTACAATCAGTGCTGTATCTGAGATTTATATATATAAACATGAATTTTATAAATGTTGCATCCTTATACAATATAGCCTTTGCCAGAACTTCTTAATATCCAGAATTCCAGGAAGAAATAGGATGCTTATACTCTCACATATTAGTAGGTAAACCGTACCGCTCAGCGTAATTTAAATATATTGATATTATTTTATTAGATTAACTTATAGCAAGTAAAGATCGTTAAAAAAAGATTTGAGTATACATTTAATATTGAGGGGTTTAAGAATTGTGTTTACCCGAAGGTGGTGCTCGTACTATGGTGAGTAGGCGTAAAAGGGGTCCGGATGTCTTAATAACTAGTGTTCCCGGATCCCTCTTATTTCAGGCGCAGAGTATAGTTTTAGTCACTCCGATTCTGACACACCACCCTACTGCAAACCCTGGTGGGGTAACGGCCCGAGGGAGTTTCAACAATTGAAAAAAAGAGAGCGCGGATAGACGCATGGACTAAAAGATAGATAGACAAAACTACGTATCCTTGTTTAGAACTTACGAAACTCAGAAAAAGAGACAAGAAATTACTATTTTCTCATTTATTTCTCCGTTGGTTGCCTAATTTTTATAATTTTTAATTTCTTTTCATTAAAAGGCCGCCCGTGATGACGCAGGGAGTAAATGTCACAGACTACATCATGTAAGTATGATGCATTCAGTTTGTATGTGAGTAAAACTCCATGTAATTATTATTAACCGAGTAACATAGGAAATGAGCAATTTGATAGTTATTTTGATTTCTTTTGTATATAAACACTCCAAACAACCATGATCTAAATCATCTATTAGAGAGGTATCATGCCAACTGTATCGGCTACCTTATGAACAGAAACGGTCGATCTGCCTGATGTACCCATCGAGCTCACTGGTAATTTGGACAACCACAAAACAGTTCGGAGTTGAGTAATTGACTAAATTTTAAAAATGTTTCTGTAATATTGTAAGTGTGTAAGAGAAGGAAAACTTGAAACAAATCCTATACTAACCCGTCTGGCCAACGTGCTATTGTAGGCCAAAACTTCCTTCCTAAGGAGAGGCCAGTAATAGAGTATTAAAGGCTCTAGATAATTATCATGATGTATAATATAGAATCAGTAATAATATAATTATGAAATAATTAACTTATAAAACAGAATCGCCAACTACAATGCACCTTACGATTGTAATGAATTGTATTCTTCGTTCCGTAGTTTTCCTCCTCAGGGGAGGATTTATTACATAGAATTTGAATGGTACCAAAAAGAAAGAAATATAAAAAAAAAATTGATAAATCTGAAAACAGATGACATAAAAACTACACTTCTCTCAAATTAATCATCATCATTATCAATTAATTATCGTAATTTTGTTTGACCTATCAGTATTTATAATTTAGAAAATGGTGCCCTGTTGTACCGGAATTACCATGCGGGTAATCAACGAACGGGAAGAATTAAAGGAATGTTATGAAAAGGTGAAGCCAGGACCTCCGTTTTCAGTGAGTAGCTAGTAGAAACAATATTAATCTTAAGTATTTTTGAATCTGAGATTGAGATTATGATCAGTAAACATAAAACAACGCAATCAAATAAAAATATCAGTAATTGTAAGATGCTTATTATTACAATAACTAGAGATCGTAAATTGATCGACTGTTTTAAATTTATTCTTGTTTTCATTTACCTGAAAAGAATTTTCTTCACCTATTAATACAGATATAGATTTATTAATAAATTATGAAATTGTTATCTGTTATGTAAAAAACGGACAGTACATCAATCAATAAGAACTCTATATATATTTATATATATAGATATCCAGGAGTTGGAATAATCAGAAATTTTCTTGCACATCCGTATTCCATTCTGTCTTATTACAAGTAATATTAATGAAAGCCTCGTAATATTTAATCTAGGATTCCTAATGGACAGGAAACATAAACATACTAAGTGTTTCAGTGTGACCTCGAGAACTGTATAGCTAAAAAATTTGGTTATTATGGGGAGGATGGAAATTTGGATACAGAAGTCTTAGCAAGGCTCATAGAGAATAAATATGAAAATAATGAACAAGTTATAACGGCTATCAAGGAGAAATGCTTAAATGGCGATATATCAAAACATGGACCCCCGAACTTATGTGTTACTATGAAAATGAAGCACTGTTTCAACAACCAATTTTTAAAGGTAAATAAATCAGTGAAACTTAGTACTTGCGATCGTTTTCTTAACAACCGCACACATACACTAAATAATACACTTAAGTAATAAGCTAAATATTTCAACGAATTGGTAGCAAATAAAACCGTGTTAATATTTTTCTTTTATCATATATACCAATCTAATTTTGCTCTTAACTGCCATTACTATATACTAAATAAATATATACATATTATATTATTAGTTTTAATAAATTAAGATCAAGACCGAGACGGTTAGCGGTCCTTAAGAGAGGCCTTCGTACGGCAATTAACAGCAATAGGCTGATGATGAAGATCTTTCATATGTATCTGTAAAAACGTGTTAATTTGACCTGTTTTTAATAAATGAATTGACTCTATGAAAGAGTGTGAAGTGATATATATTACTAAGGTAATATTTATCACTTCACACTTGATGAGAATTACTCGAGTCCATATTTTTTTAGAATCTAATGTTGGTCACGTAATTGGAACATCCGATAAATTATATCATAAACGTACTAGATTGTAATTTAAAGTAACAAATGTAGTATGTATACTAAATATCAATATTGTTAAAATTGATTAAACTTTTTTTTTGTACATAGACATGTCCTGAATGGAGTAATGAAGGCGAATGCAGTGGATTTCAGGATTTAGTTGCAGAGTGTGTCGTCGATGATTAATTTGGTAAATCTTTAGATGGTTAATGGTAAAAGTTTCAATTTTATAAATAAAATGAATACATCGTTTTATTTCTGTTTCATTTGAGAATATTATATTATTTTGAAATTGTTATGAGAAAAATTAAGTAATTTGTATATTTGTGCTGTTAAAATAAATAACGTTAATTAATATTACGAGATCTTAATACTAGAGTAGACATGCAAATATATACATAGGTACTCTAACGTCTGTATGCCCTTTTTTTCTGTGCTGAAATCACCTAGAATATCACCCCACCGGACACCAACCGGTGGGGTGGTTATTTCGGACTCCGACATAAACCACCCACTGGTACTCCGACGTACCGAGGGTCATCTACGGCAAAGGTGATTTTTGAGTTTTTTTAGTATCTCTAAATTTTTAATTGTAAATCTGAATGTTTTGGAGCAACCGTACAACACAACTGTAACCAGTGTTACTGTTGAAATAAATGGATATTTTTGACCTTTTAATCACATTTTGTTTCAAATGTAATTAATATCGGTGAGGGCAACAATTTGCATTAAACTTTTCTCCCTAAAAGCGAAACTAACCAACTAAAGTAGAAACAGTAAGTATAACCGCAGAACCGTCAATTTAAAGCGAACAATTTTGGTCAAAGCACACGTCACGTGGAAACTTCGTACTTGTGACCGGATCGCCTCAAATGAGCTAAGTTCTCGGTAACGCTACATTTAACGACTAGCTGTGCAGTTTATAGGTGTGTCCTTATTACTAGCGAGTATGTTGGCCATTTCAACTTTGCCACACTTGGTATAGTATGATACAGTACTTATAGTTTCCACGGATTATTTTCCGCAAATCCACGTCTTTTATGTGCCTAATTGGCGTAATGTCTTTCTTTCTACATACTCGTACCTAAACCTAAATACATATAAACTTATAAAAACATATACATATGAAAACAGATTCAAGGGAAAATATGAGATGAAAAATCATTAGGAAGTTGATTCTGGCCGTTGTATGATAAAATACAGTTTTACTTCTGGCAGGTTTTTTAGCATCAAATTTACTTTATCGTTGTCACTGAAACCCCACCCTTTCCATTTATTAAGAGTAGGTGAGCTTGCTTCATTATTGCATTAAGGGTTTTGTCTTGACATGACACTTTAACTTAGATGATTATGCTCGAACCCTTTTCCCTGTATAAAATAGAGATTATGCCACAACTCAGGTAAGAAAATTTAATTTAACGGCAATGAGAAAGAAAGTTTTAGACTTCACATAGTCATTTTAGATTAGAGTTAAGACATCTAAGAAGTATTTAACTCACATTGTACAATAAAGGTCGGAGGCCATTCAAAACTATCCCGTATCGGTCAGTGTTTACTGTGCGGGACGAAACAAAACGAGTTTCTCTTTAATGTCACCTAATGGTCTATCCAGTCACGTTCTCGGTTTTTGCACCATAAAAATCACATTACATTTTTCACGGAGCGAGTTAAACACAGATAAACTACACGAACTTGCAGCTTTCTCACTGAGTTAGACTCACTTACTCACTCACTTTTACTTAGCGATGCACACCTTTTTTTTTTTTTTTTTTCCTTGCGGAAATCCTCTCGGATACCACCTGTCGGTGGCATGTCGGACTCGAACCCGACTAAAACGGCACGCCGTCTCGGGTACTAATAGCCGGGGAACCAGGTATACCCTAGAAAGGAAGTCCCTGGTGCCCCGACATACCTCGGGTCATCTACAGACGAGTAGACCCCCCCCCCCCCCCCCGGGTGGGAACCCCATGTTCCCTGTGCTCCCTGGAAGCGAGCGCGCTTCGCAACGCGCTCGCCGCCACCCCGGCCTGCTTCTGCTAGGGTGACAGATGGCCTCACCTGTCACCCCCAGGCCTGCGCTTATGGAGGACGGAGGTCGTTCTGCGACCTCTGCCGCCTGAGTCGCCTGCGGTAGCGATGCACAACTAGTGCATCGCTGAGCAGGAAATTTAAAAATAATAAAAATCTCCATCACTTAGATAATTAGCTCTGTTCTCGTCTACGTCGTCGCTCTTCTCGTCTGCGGTATTTTCGGACCGATATGACCTTCAAACTTTCAAGTACAGAGTGTACTTTTTCCTCAAAGGCTGCAAACGCGCTTGTGACTCCTGAGTTGCCGGCGTTCATGGGCGGTGGTAGACACTTTCCATCAGGTGACCTGTCTACTAGGGGGCAAACGATCTTTCATAAAAAAAAAACAGACAGATACTGTACTATGATAACCGGTCTGCTGATAAATACACTTATAAATCTCTAAATACATAGGCACATATTACGGATAAATTACACAAAAAACACAAAGCAAATAATCGCACTCATCACACAATTATTTATCCTGCGAGGGAATCAAACCCACGACCTCTGGTTAGCATTCAGTATAACTAACTACTAAACCAAACGTCTGTCAAAATTTAAATTAAAAAATATACCAATATAATCAAAGGCACTGTAAGCTTGTACTGGTTACAATAAATAAAAAAAAAATTATAATTATGATGGTAACATATTATTTAATACAATTTACGTTTAAATATATTTACGAGTATTAAATACATACTGTTTGACTGTACGGATGGCGCAGTAGTTTAAGCGGTAGCCGCGGCGCTTCCTACTACGCTACGTAATGTGGGTTCGATCCCCACATGGGACGACACTTTGTGCGATCCACAAATAGTCGTTCTGAGTCTGGGTGTTCTTTGCGTCCGATTCAGGTATGTATGTAAAGTCCCCCACGACACCGGATATATTCCTAGTGCGGAAGTGGTCTTTTTTAATTTTAAAAAAACTGTTCATTTCTGTATACCTCAATATTATGAGTTAAAATCTGATGTGGTTGCATTTACGTGTATGAAGATGCTAGTTTCTGTTAAATTAGTATATTTTCTTTAGTAACAAAACAATGCATGTTACCTTATAGTTACAATACATAAGTATGTTCTCCAATTTCCTTGTATCAAATCAACATCACAAGCAGTGTACTGGGATTCAATGATTTGTGAATTTGTTAATAATTTATTCCTGAACACCATAGTTTGATAGTATTGTTCGTTGACAGCCTAGGGCTATTTCGTAGTTCAACTTTAGCTTTGTTCCTTTAATCATTCTATTAACATAACAGAGGGCACTGTTCTCAACTTATTGTTCTACGCTTCGACGGTATATTTTAAATCACTGTTAAATTTAATGTGGCAATAATTTTCGGGTTTATATTAAATTAACTGAAGCTCATTATGGAAGCTGTTAAAATTTTAATTAGTTCATGAAACGTAATTTAATAGCACAGTGCAAGAAACTCTATCAGCAGAGCGTAAGAACAACTTTTTAGTATGTTATTTTCACAAAGAACAATGGCAGAAACATATTTACCTAAAACTTAAGCGTTTAAAAAATCGAGTCACAGTAAACTTAATCAAAAAAATTTCTATGATTTATCATTACACCACCATGTGTTGTATAAGTCTTATAAGAGATAAGATATTTTTGAAGATTTTATTTGACCTAAGTACGTAATGTCAGATTCGCCATCACGTATAACTGACTAGGGATGCGATGTGGCAATATTATATTATGGAACAATTTATCGATAATCGATTCTTATAGGTTTGGCTGAAATATTTACCGAAGGTTCACTATTATGATTATGAATTTGCTTCTGCCCACGTCTTCACTCGTACGGTAGAGTGACTGAATCAACATAATTAGAAATGATTTAAAATATTTTTGACTCTCTTTAAACGATTTTAAACACACTAAAGAAATAGAATATAGTTACGTTATTTTCCACTACAGTGTGATGAGAAAAATACATTGTCATTGATAACGGCACATAAATAGACATACATCGATATTTTCAAAATGTCGATACGTCGTCGTTTAGTACATATATCTTAATCTGTGGTTAAGATCCTGTCAAGTTCCGGACTCACCACGTTTGTTATTTTATTTTTGTTTAATTTAGTGTTAAACTCGAATAGATGTTATGCTTTTATTTTTTTTATTTCATATACTGTAATAATAATGAAAATAATATTTTCGGCTATCTGACACACAACGCCATCTAGTTTCAAACAAAACATTAACAATATGTTAGTACTTAACCTCGAAACATTCAAAATCCAATATCTTTTTTCCTAGACTTCTTTCGCAAGTAATTTTGATATGAGAATGGTCAAGAATAAATTCTCAAGTGCTAAGGATTTTTTGATATTTAAACGCTAACATTTCAGTTCAAATAAAATTATGTATGGGGACCTGCCATTGTCCTTTATGAATGTTGATTAAAACTACTTGAAAAGGTATTTTTTTTAATGTATGAGATCCATACTTCGGCACATACGGGTCGGTTCGACTGTAGTGGTACCATGACCTCACAAAAAACCAGTGCTAAACAATTCTTTCGTTCCTTTGCACCAAGTGAATGAGGTTATCGGAGGTCCACACTCCTTCTCGCCTTATTCTTAGTACGTTCAAAGCCCAGCATGTTAATCTACGTGACTGAAAAGGCTCATAATTGTCTTAATGAGGAGTGACGTATTGCCATTGACCGCTTGTTGAGAATTTAACATCTGATGTAGTAAACAATGCTTAATTTTTGTTTTTGGGACGAATTCTTTATCATGTTACAAGCTCTGAGCGGACGGGAACGAGACGACAATTCTTCCTTCACTTTGACGAAACATCTTGCTATAGGCACTTCTTGTCCTCTTTCTGTATCAATGCGATAATCTATAAAACTATAGTTAAACCGCTGTAAGCTTGGCCCTCCTGATGGTTTGGGGGACGCGGGGCGGGGGTGCATTCAACCAATTAGCTAGTGCGTCGCTGTCCACCGGCAGTGACTGACGTGAAAGCATGGCGCACGTGTTAATTTTCTTAAGACTGCTACACGCGGTATTATTTTGCAACATGGATATATAATCTGCCGACTCAGAGTTACAAAAAGATTTAAAAACTTGAAGTTCGGCTTA